ATATGCAATGGACATTAATAAAATGCAACAAATAAATAAATTAATTCGCAACGGATCCCACTCTCCGCTCAGTAAAAATGATAATAAAAGCATCTCAAATTCTATAAATTCTAGAGAAAAAGAATGAGAGTACCTTGTAGAGGAGAGAAAGAAAAGTTCACGTTCAGAGTTCACAGTTCAACAATCTCACAATTTTGATGAGATTTTCACAAGCATCCGTTTCTTTATATTGAAATTCTTGAAAAGTTTTAATTGAATACATGTAAATTTTTGGAAAGTCTAAAAAAAATTCAATTGAATACCCAAAACTTTAGAAGTCTTAAAAAGTCACTAAAAGTCCTAATTTAATACATCTCTTTAATTATGTATAGGGGAAGTTCTAGTTTATTTGTACATTAGGTGTGTGTTTTTTTTTCTGCTTTGCTTTGTGTTTTATTTTGGTGCTTTGGTTCGTTTGGTGCAGCTTTGTCTGCTTTCAGTGCAGCTTATCTACTTTTAGTCTCTTTTTGGAGTTTTGTTTTGTAGGTGTTTGCCTCCTAGATGGAGTTTGTACCCCTTTGTGTGTTAACAGGGGGTTGGTCCAGTTTTCTGGTTCCAGTGTGTCTTTTGACACTTCAGTTGTACTCTTTTGAATTTTTCAATTATTACATCTCCTAGTTTTGATCATAAGAAGGATTTTTTTACAAAAAAAAAAATCAAATCTTAAGTTGCAGACAAAAAAGTGAATGGAAAATGGGGAGTGGAAAGATATAAAAAGGACGTATTTTGTAAATACGTTTTCTGCATTTTTTAATTGTAAAACGTATTCCGTGAATACGTTTTCTTTTGTAAAAAAATGTGAAAAACGTATTTAGTAAATACGTTTTTTATCTAAATTATACTGAAAACGTATTTTGTAAATACGTGCTTTTTATATTGGTCTACTGCCCTTTTTTTTTGTTTTTTGTCCACTTATTATTTTTTTATAAATAAATATATAAATTACTCCATACCCACATGAAAAACGTAAACAGTTGAAAGACGAAAAACCCCAACCGTATCGCAAACCCTAGTTACCCACTCTGCATCTGCTGGAGTGCTGGGGAATTGGCATATTCAATATTTTCAGTCGGCAGCTCCAACAGAGGGAAGAGCAGCTGCGGAGCGCGAAAATGGCGAAGAATGGCGGCGGAAGGAAGAAGAGGGAGAAGCCCAACATCCTTATAACGGGAACGCCGGGTACTGGTAAAACGACGATGTCCTCGGCTCTGGCGGAGGCGGCCAATCTCCGGCATATCAACGTCGGTGATTTGGTGAAAGAGAAGAATCTCCACGATGGATGGGACGAGGAGTTCGAAAGTTACATCATCAACGAGGACCTCGTAAGTTGCTTACTTTTATGAGTTTGTGTGACTGCTTTTGGTATATCTTTCGGAGCAAATTATTCGATTTCACCCAACGGCTGTGCAATTCGTGTCATTTTTATAGTAAATCTTAAGATTAGTGGCTTCGTTTTTCATTTGAAGATTAGGTCGTGGTTAAGCTCATCGGAGCTGATAATTATGGGTTCTTAAGCTAAATTTAGGGTTTGTTGGAATGTGATCTACCATTCCTGTAACTTGTAAAAATATTAAAGACTTTTGATTTTGTTGTGAATTTGTGAACTGTGCTATTACTTCAAGCAACTTATTCAGTTCTTGTTTGTAAATTAATTCAAGTAGCATTGTCAACTCTTCCCTAAATGTGAGCAAAAGTTTGCAGCAAAAATAATTTTTGACAACTACAGTTGCTGTTAAATGACCTGGGTCATGTTTGATTTTTATTTTGGTTTCTTCCTCTTTTTCTTTTTTCATGTCTGCTTTTGCTCTAGTCCTTTAACTGATCTTAAACATAGTTTTATATCCATTATCCAAGTGTTCTTATTTGTGACAGGTATGTGATGAGCTTGAAGATTTAATGGAAGAAGGTGGCAATATTGTGGACCACCATGGCTGTGACTTCTTCCCCGAACGCTGGTTTGATCTTGTCGTGGTGCTTCAATCTGAGAACTCTGTGTTGTACGATCGGCTGAGCAAGAGGTGAATTTGGTTTCTTGTTATTTAGCTTTTTTTTTCCCTGTTGCTTATAGTTAAAATCTTATAGGGTGTTATTTTGGCTCTGTTTGGTGAGTAGGGGTTACACTGGAAAAAAGCTCTCCAACAACATTGAGTGCGAGATCTTTCAGGTCTTATTGGAAGAGGCAAAAGAAAGTTATCCAGAAGATATTGTGCAGGCGTTAAGAAGTGATTGCATTGACGATATAGAGAAGAATGTTGCTAGGATAACTGATTGGGTTAGAAGTTGGAGCATGTTGCCTTGATCTACGCACTTACAGGTGGAGACTCCCTGGAATATATGGTTTGTATGTAAGTTTCAATTTTGAGAGGGAATTTCTGTTAGCAGTGGTTGTGAGTGGCATCTGTCTGGAAACTTTGTCTGCCAATTCCGAATTGTTTCTAAACTACTGTACTTGCACTTTGGCCCTTACTTTGGTTACACAGATAACACACTAGCTCTTCGTCTTGGATGGTACACTTTCACTCTGCCAACATATGTTACATGTGGCAACTCGAAATAGCATGAAGTGCAAAACGCTATAGATTAAGGCTTGCAAGGGAAGCGTATTTATAGGTAAAATGTAAGATCGCCATGCTCTGTGCAATTGTCCATTTGTACAAGTTCGTGGCTTATTTACAAAACAATCCATTGGTACAAGTTTTTGGCTTATTTACAAAACAGTGTGTGCAATTGTCCATTGGCACAAGTTTTTTGCTTATTTACAAAACACTGTGTCAAAGTTTGCAATTAATGTACATTTATTGCCATTTAGGGCCTTTTTTGATCCAAGATAAAACTGAGTGTGGAAGGGGTACGATATATATAGGTGCAATTGAGTGTGGAAGGGGTACGATATATATAGGTGCACTATTTCTCCATGAATGTTACTAGATATTATGAATCCATGAGACGGTCACATGTTAATGTGACTCGTAACCTAAAGTTTATCAGATGTTTGACCAAAGAATGTGTGTGTGACTCGTATATATGACACGTAAACTTAGAGTTTATGAGATGATTTTGGATAGCACATAGAGGTGTCAAGAATTGAAATTCATATATGATAAATATAAATGCATCTCACTGAAAATATGGAATTCATCATCTCAATGATTCTCAAGGTGTTGTGTGGTTGTGCTCGCCTTTGGTCTAGTTTTTTGGTTTGTTTTCCCGGTTGTATTTGAAGCTACCTGTGTAGTGGTTCTTTTCCCTTTTTTTTTGGGTTTTAAGGGCCATATGGCGTCTCGGTTTGTAAGACTGTTTGATTTCGTTTTATGTTGTGTTTCTTGTGCCACTCCGAGGGAGAAAAAAAAAAAAATAATCAATGATGTTCATCGTGGTCAATTATATCAAATATTATGATGGAGTAATATGCTAGAAGCGTTAGTATTGTGCAAATTAAAATTTTTCTAATTTGCAAATGATAAAGAGGCATACATTCTTAATGAAAAGTATGTAAATGTGACAATTATATATAATCGACCTTAATACGTTATGATAATATGGAGAATTAACAAAATTGAATAAGTGCCAACACATAAAAACGAATGCGTTATAAGTGGATATTGACAAAATTGAATAAACTAACAATCAATATTGAATCGACAATGAGACTATTTTTTTTAACGAAACGATAGAGATGCTATTAAAACTTCAAAGAGAACAATGTTTGAATATTACAGGCCACACTCGAAAGATAAAACTGAGAGGACATGCTGAAAGCGGCCTAGAACCTCCACACCCAAACAAAGAAATAAGAAAACTAAAAGGAAAACCCTCCATTGCCCAAAGACCTAGAGGGTGAAAGAGAAAAGCTATATCCAAAGTCTGAAACAAGAAAACTACAAGGAAAACCCTCAACTGCCCAAAGGCCTAGAGGGTGAAAGAGAAAAGTTGCATCCAAAGTCTGAAACGACAGCCAAAGTCCAAATAAGATTACACAATAGCATATTTACTCTAAACAAAAAAAAAAGCAGGAGCAAGTTGTGGCCACCATTAAACCAGTTGAAAGAATTCCAACCAATCTTTATGGGCAGCTTTAACTATCAGGTGAGCAGGGAGCAGAACATCTTGAAAGGGGCAAAGATTATGGGTCTTCTAGAGCCACCAGAGTATATATGTCGCCAGTTGGATTCGAGCCTCTGATGTCTTAGAAGTTCTTACAGTGCAGATATGATTGCACCAACAGCTAATAGAAGAAGCATGAGTATGCAGCCCATCCCATGTAACTGGGGAGATATCCCACAGTCTAACTGCTCTAGAGCATTGGAAGAAAATATGATTCACAGTTTCAGGGGACCACAAATTGCATATCACACCATTGTCAAAGCCTCTTTCTTTTTTTTTTTTTTTCAAATTAATACTATCTAGTAAAGAACCAGGGATGCATTTCTAGATAAACAACTTGTAAATGCTGAAGATTGGCAGTAAATCGATGAACCTTCTGATGTTCGCAAAGTCCAGAAATTTACTGAAGTATTTAAGGGAAGTTTATTTTTGGTATGAATAAGTATTAATTTTAATTAAGTCCAAAGGACTGATTATTTATGTTATTATTTTGGCAGGACTTTGGGATTGAGGGGGAGATACGCTTTCCATAATCTAAAGTGAAGGAGGATAGCGAGATTCACCTTCCATAATCGAAGATGAAGAAGTTCAAGAGATTTACATTCCTTATCTGCATGTGTCTTGGGTGAAAAGACTTTCCAAAGGGTGCTGAAGATAAACGGAGGACGAGACCAGAGTTGAGGATGACTTTTCAATCTGAATTTTTTGAGTTAGTTATTTTTCTTTGAGTGAAAAAGAGTGATATTCAGAATATTTTGTAAAAGAACGTTCGGAGGTTCGTTCTTATAGTTTGAGGGATTCGAACTAGAAAATCCACAAGGGAGTTGTGGTCGGATAAGTAGTTGTGTGAATCATTATTCAAGTGAGTGTATAGGGAGTCTATACTGTAAACCCTTGGATGATGTATGAGTTGTTCACATTAATGAAAGAGATCTGAAGGGAGAGTGGGACGCTCTCCTGAAGGTTCAATTTTTAGTGAAAAACAACTTCCGCAATTGTTTGAATCTTCATTACTATCTGTCTATTCGATTTACGTGCAACTCCGGATACTTGGTGTTCAAGTATTAAATTTCAATTGGCACCAGAGTGGGTTTTCGTCTTCATTATGAAAGATCCTAGGACGTGTGTTACCCTCAAATCATGAATCAAGAAAGTGGATCGATGTCCAGGCCCCCGCAATTGGACGGTTCGAACTACTCATATTGGAAGTCTATGATGACAATCTTTCTGAGATCGTTTGGAAAAGATGTGTGGGAAAGTGTTGAAAACGGCTGGGAGCATCCAGTCATGCAACAAGCACCCGATCAAGGTAAAGAAACAACGAAAGTCACGATTTCTAAACCTAAGGACAACTGGACTGATGCTGAGAAGCTTCAAGAAGAAGCCAACTATCGTGCCTTGTATGCGATTATGATGGCAGTTGATCAGACAAGACACAAGATGATAGTTCATTGCAAAACTGCAAAAGATGCTTGGAGGGTCTTATAGCGTCAATTTGAAGGTTCAACGGCTGTCAAAGCGTCCAGACTTCAACGGGTAACTCTTGAATTTGATGAGATCAAAATGAGGAATGAAGATACAATTGACGTATACTATGCCAGATTATGTGATCGGGTAAATCAAAGCATGATGCTTGGAGAAGAAATCTCTGAAAAACGTCAAGTACAAAAGATTATGAGAACCGTCGTTCCCAGGTTTAAAGAGAAAATTACAGCTCTTGAAAGTTTCCAAAGAGTGGCGTCGTTTGGAAGAGCTTCTCGGATGTTGATGAACTTCTTGGAGAGCTCAGAACTTTTGAAATCAACAACAATTATGACAAAGTCAAAAGTAAGGGCTTAGCTCTCAAAGATGTTGTAGTCGAGGAAAGAGAAGAAAGCGATGACGATGAAGGTCCGTTGGTATATGATAGTGAGCTGAAAGAAGCACTAGCTTTAATCGCGCGAAACTATGGGAAGATGAGTCAAAGGTTGTACAAGAACAAATTTGCTGGAAAAAAAGGCAACAATTTCAGCAAGAATGTGGTGCAGGACAAGAAAAGTAGTATGTCACTCTCAAAATCCGATTCACAACGAGTCGAGAAGGATCAATGCAGGGAGTTTCGAGGCTTTGGACACTTCCAGTACGAGTGTGCTAATCTTAAGAAGAAGAATAAGTCACTAAAGGCAACCTGGGAAGATTCAGATGAAGAAGGCACAGACGAACCTACTTTACACACAAGCAACCTGGCAGTTCATACCTCAGTCAAGAAGTTCATGTGTCTCACCACTTCTCATGCTCCGACCAAGTTTTAAGAAAATTTGAAAGAAAGTGAAGCATCTGAGGATGAAGCAGATCAAAATGTGTGTGTAGATCCAGTTCACTTACTTGCTATGAAAAAGTGTGCTTAAGCCTTTGAGGCTCTACAGAAGCTTCAAAATGAAGTGTTTAGACTTTCAAGAGCAAACAGGGTGTTGAACGAACAAGCATCTACCTCCACTGCTACTAAAGAGTGTGAACTGGATACTGCAAAGGCACGAACCTGTATCCTTGAGAGCATTGTCAAACTTGCTAAACAAGACAGACTGGAGAAGGCTCAGACCATTGAATGCTTGAGGACCGAACTATTCTCTACTCAGAAACTTCTTGTCGAGCGGAACCAAAAAATCGTGCTACTGAAAAATGAAGCTGGTCAGTTGATGAAAGAACATGCTAGCATGGAAAGCAAGCTGAAGGCAAATTCTGCTGAGTTGAACCGAACTGCAGAATTTGTTCGAAAATTGAACAAGGGAAAGGCAGAACTGAATGAACTTCTTTCCTTGGGAAGACAACATGGTGATCTTACTGGAATAGGGTACACTAGTAGGGAAGACATTCCTGAGTCCTCAACTGGAACTTAAAATACAAAACATACCGGTCTTGGATTTGGGGACAAACTTGGAGTTGGAGGTGTGAACCTCCATGGGAGACCTTCCAGAAACGTGTTTGACAGGTTTCTAAAAATCACTGTAACTAAACCTCTATCTCCACAATCTCCCTTGAAGGTTCATTCTCCCATGCAGAAATCTGTTAATAAAACTCACCATAACTTTGTTCCTATCTGTCATTACTGTGGTGTAACTGGTCACATAAGACCCAAATGCTATAAATGCAGCATGATCTTTGTACAGGTAATGTTAGGGGTTGGAATCAGTCTGGCATTCCAGTGAAGGTCCATTC